AGAAATTGTGCAATTGGATCACCAGCTTCCTTGCAGATCGGAGCATCAAGGTCGTTGTAGACGGTGCATGCTCTGACTACAAGCCTATTAACGCTGGTGTTCCACAAGGCTGTGTGCTATCACCAACGCTGTTTCTTCTGCATATCAATGATATGTTGCTAACTGGTAACATTCATTGCTATGCGGATGACAGCACTGGTGATGCTCTATACACCGGCCGTGCCAATATTTCTCGGGAAAACGTCGCTGAGTACCGGAACAAACTTGTGTCTGAAGTCGAGTCTTTGCTGAGCAAAGTCTCCGATTGGGGGCGACTAACTCTAGTCCAGTTTAATCCTCAGAAGACACAAGTTTGCGCATTTACCGCTAAAAAGAACCCCTTTGTCGTATCTCCTCAGTTTCAAGGCACTCCCCTTCTTGCCTCAGCCAGTATCGGTATCCTCGGAGTCGACATATCGAGTGACGTGCAGTTTCGTGGTCACTTGGAAGGGAAGGCCAAATTGGCCTCTAAAAAGCTTGGCGTGCTCAGCAGAGCGGGACAGTATTTCATGCCGGCACACCGCCTGCAACTTTACAAGGCGCAAGTTTGGCCTCACATGGAATACTGTTCACATCTCTGGGCAGGGGCTCCCCAGTGCCAGCTCCTTCCACTTGACCGCATCCAACGCAGAGCTGCTCGAATCGTCGACGACCGAGCCCTTTCCGATCGGCTCGACTCATTGGCACTGCGAAGAGATGTTGCATCCCTTTGCATTTTGTTTCGCATCTACCATGGGGAGTGCTTTGAGGAATTGTTTGGATTAATCCCAGCCGCCAAATTTCACGAACGCACATCGCGGCAGAACTCCCGATACCATCCACACCATCTGGATGATTGGCGGTCCACCACTGTGCGATTTAGAAGATGTTTTCTTCCTCGCACGACCTCCTTGTGGAATCGATTTCCATCAGCGATTTTTCCGGACCGATACGACTTAGGGACCTTCAAGAAAAGAGCGTACTCCTTTTTAAAAGGCCGGCAACGCATCTGCGATTCCCCTGGTGTTGCAGTTGTTCATGGGCGGCGGTAGTCACTTACCATCAGGTGAGCCGCATACTCGTTTGCCTCCCCTCCTATAAAAAAAAACATATTTTTTTTAATTATTACTTACATTTGTCAGTGGATTAAATTTGCTTTAATAAAGTTGGTGATGGTTTTAAATAAGAATAAAATTCTGCTCAAGTTTTTTTATTGTTACCTTTGTTAACAACATCGCCTTTAGAACTGGAATCGTAAGTGTTTCTTTCGGACGTCCACAATTTATTCAAAATAAAAAAATGCTCTTTCTACTGGAGCATTTGTACAGGTAGACATAAAATATATTCCATTAAAAAAAATATGTTGAAGATTGTTGACTTTGAATACTTCCATCCAACGAGTTACGGGGCAATTTTGTGTCCCGGAGCTTTGTTTGGGGACATAGGGACAGGTGACCGAGAAAAGGGACAGTCCCGTTCAAAACGGGACGTATGGTCACTTTAGCTATAACCCGGCGACGGCGCCGTGGCGCAGTGGCTTAGCAATCAGTTGTTGCGCTGGGGGCCGCGGTTTCGAATCCCGCACGGAACAAGTATTTGTATCGCCTACAAATAATTGTTCCGGGTCTGGATGTTTGTCCATGTGCAATTTATGTTTGTAAACTGCCTCCACGACGAATCCTAGTGTGGGGGTAACGTTTTTTTAAAATTGAAATTGAAAGAACCCTTATACTTCTTGTTGATTTTTGTATTACCTTTATTAAAGTTACCCTTCTGTATAAATAAATATAATTACGTATGTAGAAATAAAATTAATTTTCATCCTCATCAATCATTGGGGTGAGGATAATGTCTGTCAGCATAAGTAATAAGCAGACTAAGTTACAAGGTGCTCAGTTCAAAAATTTGTAGGTAGGTATATTACTTTTCAATACGTGACACGTAAAAATTAACAATAATCAAAAACACATCTGCGAAACATGCTATTTATTTCTTTATTCTTTATTGCACCAAATATTTGTACAAAAGGCGAGTTATCTATTTATTTACCTATAGGTATCTTTTTAACTCACAATTTTCAATGCTTCATTTTTAATATATAATTAATTATAAAATTTCATAATTAGATAATAAATGAAAATACATAATTCTAATATAATGCAACTAATATACCGAATAAAAGAAATTAAAATACATTTATCGTTGTACGCTGTGTGTATTTCCATAAAATAGTTTATTGATGTTGAAAAAATAATACTACGTTCGTACAATACGGCTGTCCCATTTCAAAACCTAACAAGGGCTTAAAACTAAATTTTACAGGAAAGCACTTATACGTAAAATAGGTTAGTCTTTGAAAAGTATTTATGTTAAGTAAAGAATTTGCTGTTGTTTGTATAAAATACTAAATAATGCACATATAGTACTATCAATATTTTAATATATGTGTATATTACAAAATTTAAAACCCTTACTAACTTTGATAATTGACACGAAATGGTTAGGTTCATGTAACAACCAGTTTTATAACATAGTAAGAGCACTTGTTAGGTTTCGTTATGGTTTTACGGAACAGGTACTTAGTTTATCTCATTGATAAAATTCTAGTAAATCTAAAGCCTTGTAATTAAAAGTATTAAGAATTGAATAGAAAAGTTTATTAATTTATAAAAAAGAGCTATTCAAATGCAGACATTTGTCCATCATTTGCAAATCGGCAGACGAGTCATTAACGGGTAAATTATTCCAAAATTATTTTCTTGATTCCGGCATCAAAACGTACCAATTTATTAATAATTTTTTTTTGTTTAATGCCTCTTGGGATGTCAAGACTTTTAGGGAGCTCAGTGCAATAAAATTTGTTCACCAGAAAGTCCAATTCCTGGAGGGGTTCATCAAATCTGAAAAAAATAGTTAAAGTTCAGGCCAAAAAAGTCAAACAAATCTGAGTTAAAATAAATATTATATTAAAATAAATAAGTAACAAGTATTACCTTGTCTTATAAAAAAGATTTCTTGATCCAGTGCTAAATTCGACTTGCACAACAGAGTTTAAATTAAATTGCTTTAGCGGTTCATTAAGACGTGCCGCTCTCTTCTTTTTAGGCCACTTATATCTACAATTGATTTCAATAGGTTTATATTTCTCCTTGATTGCATCACTGTGTCTTTAAAATCCTAGAAATCATATATATTTCTTTGCCTCCTCATTTTCATTTCGATATTGCCATGAACAGCATCCGCGAACATGTGAGTATGGCCTTTGGTTAAATAGCTAATAGTTACTGATTGATTATTCAAGGAGTTATTGACTATCATAATCATTGCAGTATAAAGAGTCCAATTTTTGTTTTGGGCTGTACAATTATCAGCCCATATATACAAGTGCTCCATGTCCCTATTAGCCTGTATGAAAGCATATATCCCTTTCAGACCCGTGCCGTGACGGCGCTACTTAACGAATATTACAGAACTGATTTGGGGCAAATAACATACGTAGATTACAAAAAAGGGGTCTTAAAAAATCTGGGAAAATGGGAAAACTGTTTTCCACGATACTCACGATCGTACTATGTCGGGCCCAACTATAGCTACCCTCACGATCGTGAGAGTAATAACAATATTCAAATAAAATTAAAAATTAGGACTAATTATTTATTTTATAATCAATATTAACTTAATTTCTTATTGTTAATAAGTAACAAAAATATAACGCTTCTTTTAACCTCTATTTTTGGAGTAATTAGATACAATAAAAATCTTATTAAGAACGAGGAACAAGGCACACAATCGAGATCATCTGTTTATAATTACTAGAAGGAATAGACTTGAGAAAAATATTAAAAAATATATTTTTCATTATGGAAAACGCAGAAACAATGCTTATCTTTAGTACTACAAAGATAAACATTGCATTTTGTGCATCTTACTTTTGAACGGCTTGTACAACCTGTCATTCGGCAACAGCGAGGAGCTTTTAGAGAATCACATACGGGCCAATGGTTATACCCATCGAGACATTTATCTATAGTTGGAATAGGTGCAGGTTGATAGTGGGATGTTGAAGGCATCTTTGCCATTTCTTCGAATTCTTCTCGGATGCGTTTTCTCGTTGAGCCGCCAAGTAGAAAATCAGATACGCATATTTTAAAGTCCAAAAAATCCATGATATTAGAGTTCTTGACTTTGTTTCTATCACATGATTGGCGATACTCGTACCACGAGTTCACCATGGCCAAGTCAAACAAATGCATTATTAACTTGATTGGCCATTTGCGAGTTTTATGCCATGATCTGTAGACCTCCATCATTTGGTCGCTGACGTCTACACCTCCCATATGTTCGTTGTAATTTTTAATCATATCAGGGCAAGTTACTTCGATGTATGATTTTGTAACTTTATCGTAACGCTGGACCTTATGCAATGGCAGGGCTCCAATAGCAGTTGAACAAGTTAATACTGTTTTGGAGTCTTTCCATTTAATGACACAGATATCTTTTTTATTGTTAACAACCTCGTGATAATCACCCCGATTCATTGAAGAGTCTTTGGGAAACTGGTATCCTTTAAATCTATTGGTTATTATTGTTCCAGTGCCTTCAATTCCAAGCGTTAACATCTTCTCAAGTAATGGAATAGTCGTAAAATATCTATCAAAATAGACGAAACTTCCTCTGGGCAGGGTATTTATTAAACGTAAAACTATAGCGGGTCCAAGGCCCAAAGATCTGTCTGAAAGTGGAGTGGTGTCGCCTTGATGGAGCTCAAAATCTAACACTAATCCTTTCGATGATGTCACGACATAATTTTTAAGGCCCACTGGTCTCGGTTTGCCTTTCACAAATTGTCTGACAGGACACTTACCGAGGAATGGCACCATTTGTTCATCTATTGAAAAGTGAGATTGATCTCTAGGTATCTGTAAGCATCTGCCCCTTACAGCATCTATCAGTGGCTGGACAAGCCACAGTTTGTTCTGAGTTTATATTTCAGGTGATACAGATCCCTTATCTACTATGTGTAAGTTTACTCTGAGAAGAAAGAATCTTTCACGAGCCATTGCCTCTGCAATACAAGATAGTCTAAATCGTTGCATCCACACCATCTTGATTCTAGGATATCTAATGCAGCCCAGGATTCCATTAATACCAAAAAACTTTTTAATTTCTGTCGCAGTAACCGGAGGATTAAGTTGTTTGTTAAAACTCAACTGATAATAAACATTCGTGTTAAAAGCAAATAACTCGTAAATTTCTTCAGTAAAGTACCTATCAAAGTATTCACTTGGAGTAAGTACTTCTTCCGTCGGCTCCGAGATCAGTGTAGGCATGGGTTTACCGATGAATCGTCTGCGAATCCATTTATTCGACGATGATGGACTTGCTACTGTTGAATTTCTTGCTTCTTGCTCGTCTTCGTTATCCGAGCTAGAATTAGTTAGCTGACCAGGTGGATGCCAATCATTATCGTCGTCAAAGTCCTCGCCCAAATCCGAGTCAGCCAGTTGATCCATTATAGCATCAAGGTCAAAAGCCAAGTTATTTCTATCCATAACGATGTATCAAATAGGCTGAAAAGTAAACAAGAGGGTTTTTAACATAAAATAATTGGTATAAATAATCACTAATCCGACCAACGTTGGGCCCGAACCCTCACGATTGTGACATCTAAAAGTAAAGTCGAAAAAGACAAACTAAAAACGCGAAAGGACGAATAAAAACATAATTTATCGAGAATTTAGCTTTTTTCAAACGAATTATTGCAATAACATTATAGTTTTTACTTACTTTTACGTGACAAACAGGTATGTTTAATTTTGGCGCGTAACACGTGTCTGTTGCTAGGCGGCAAATGGCGACTGAATCAAAATTATTGTAATTTAATTCCACTGCTCTTTGTCATAATAAACCGAACTACACGCACGATCGTGTGACGCTGTCCCCGTCAACTCACGGCTATTGTTTAATTTTATAAAAATTGACAAAGTCACCGTCACAATTGTGAGTACTGGGACCGAAAGGGATATGGCGTTCATAATATCACTCGCCTCTCGTCAAGCTTGATCTTCATGCCAAAGGACACATGTGGCAAAACGCTTGACTTCTTTTCAATTGGAAAAAATGTTTAATTAAAGGTAACCAAACGACTCATAAAAAAAGCATCTTTCATTTCAGGCATCTCTGGTAAAATAATTACCTTTTGTAAATCCATTGATAAATATTTAACTCTATTTGAATTTTTGCTTGATCCATCTAATCTGTATCTTTGTAAAGCAGAGTCAGCTTGGAACTTATGATTTTCATATTTCGTTCTTATTTTTTCAGGCATCGAATTAACATCGCTGTAATTCTTCAGTTCCTATTCATACATTGAGCATTCTACACAGCTATCACCTCTAGGCATATGAAATGATATTTTTAGTTTTTTTTTATATTTTGCCTGTATAATTCAACCCCACATTTAAAATTTGGATTTTTCTGCTTGAAGTCTTTTTACATTTGCTGTAATGTTAAGTGTCTCGGCAAATATTTAGTCAATGGCGAATTGTGACGGCGATAATGACTGACAGTGAGCTGAAAACTCATGATATGCTCAGTTATTATGCTTCCATACTTCTCTTCGATTGCCACCCCTATTTTCTTTGGAAGCAAATGCATTTAATATCCCTTTCTTTATAGTTTTACTAAGTTCTGTTATCACGCCATCAGTTTTATATCCAAGAGTTGCCAAAAAAAAGTTACGGCACACGGGAATCAATTCGTTGTCTTTATTTGGCAAAGAAAAATAACGACTTTCGTTTTTAGAAAACGAATCATTAGAATTTGAGATTTGAACCTTACGTCGCTTTATAGAAGGTATAGTTAGTTATATATAGTTATAGTAAGTTATGCATTTATTGAGAAAATTACGCCTTGATACAAAATTTCGTTCCCAATATTTATCTCAAGTCTCTTTCCGACTTTCAACTGAAAACTTTGCACATTACCTCTTGCATTTGCCATCACAACTATTTACGATCATCGGATGCTTTATTTCATTTTAATTTGGTTTAATAACATTTGGTTCAGTGGCATTTACATATTGTGGATTGGTATTTTGTGTTGCACTGATGTTTGATAAATTATCATGTTCATTATAAGTAAAAACTGAACCGGGATATGCAGCTTTGAAGTGTATTTCAGGTTGTCTATTTTGATGCGGAGATTCAGCGGCAAATTGAGATATAGAAGAACCCAAGAAATCCCGGAATGTATAATCGGTATCAGAAGAAGTATCTTTTACAGATTCAGACAGCTCAAAATCAGGATCTTCAACTGAATCGTCCAAATCGCTAAATGTAATTAATTATTCAGGGTCAATTACACTTAAGGTGTTAGGTTTTAAAGCAGTGTTATTTTGCGAAGATGAAGTGGATAGTCCTTTGAATTCAACTGAGCCGTTATTAGCAGGCAAACTGAAACAAAGAAAAGATAAATGCAACACACGACAAAAAGAAACCGCAACCAATTTTAAAATAACGCACACATCAATAATTCCATTTTCAGACCAAAACATCAACTCTTGGTAAACTTAAAACTAAACATTCCTATCAAACCAAAAACAAAATAATAATCACGTGCATACTAATAGGTTGAAAAATATTAATGTTAGTTAGCATCATTACTTTATATAGGTATTTCAGTGCACGTGTATTATAAGGCAAAAGAAATAGTTTAGATATAATGAACTTACCGTTTTTCCTTCTCTGAATCACAATTTATATTGTTATTTTTCGCGGCAGCCACAATCTTTTTTGAACGGTAAAATTGCATTTGGCGATTCATTTTTATGAAGAACAAATCAAGTTACTGTGTTCACGCGCCGACGCCGATAACTGAATTGAAGCGAATGCTTGCGCTCACGTGTTGTGACATGCTGTGAACAACGTGCACTATCCCTCTCTTTCTTCACGTTCAGACTTGATTTTAAAAACCTAGTAAGTCACTTTAACCATTATAAGCTTCTTGGTCTAGATTATGTTCCGGTACAGCATTTCTGTTAAATGGATAAATTCCGCTTTTTTTCGAACCCTTTTTTTATAACATTGGAATTGAGACATTTCCAAACGCTTCCCACTATCGCTAAAAACTGATCCTTAGATAACTTTTCGCCCTTATGTGTGCGTTGCCATTTAATTATTTCCTGATCCCAAGCGTCCAACGTTTGAATACGCTTAGATCAATTGGTTGAAGAAGATGATTTGATATTAATTTGTTTTGTCATTTTGACCACAACCAGTTTCACGTGCGTGCTATGACCATCTTAAATTAAGAGCGTTGGCTCTTTCTCATCTTTGACCATGGCAATGAATCTTTTTGTCATGAACTCTGCAATAGCTTCGGATTCAATCCAACCATTGTGTTACGGATCACCGTAACGCCGTTCAAAAAATGAATGAAACGCGTTGGTCTTGTTTAAAACAAGAGGCAAGCGGCGGTGAGGAGGAACTTGTATTTTTTCTTGCTGTGTTTTCTTTTCGGTGGCTGGAGAGCGACTGCTGACCGTACCGGCCGGTCCGTCTTTTATATGGTTTGGCCGTTGCTGGCCAGCGGACCCTTGCCTCACCTCCGCGCATTTCTTTATTGGGTTATATCTCTTACGAACTAACAAACAGAATTAAATATATAATATTCTTATAACTACTTATTATACTAATATGTACACAACAATTTTTATACATTTTAAAAAGGTTTAAACTTTGCTTTTGATAACTTTAGGCTGAGGACCCTGCCCCCCGCCTCAGCACTATAAATATAAAACGTCGTGGCGCGGTGCGCCTAGCCTCATTTGCTCCGCGGCCGCGTCACGATAACATGCCCTGTTGATAACATCTTATTTTACGTGCCTAAGGGCTTAATATACAAGAAAGGTAAGTTAGATATAAGAACAAATACAATTTACATTAACTAATTACAATAATTAATTTACATTATAAATCTATGCTAACTCGCTATTCATTCGGTGTCTTCATTGGGAGAGTTAGTGCATAGTTACAATACTATTCTTTTTATCATTAAATACAAAGTTATATTTTTTAACATTCTGAATAAGGCTGCGCTTGTTTGTTCCGCGTTGCTGTGTGCAACCATCGCTAGTTGTCGAACCGTGAGCTCGACCCGACGATCGTAACACTCTCATGGCTCCGCCCACCGCCCCTAGGTTGTTCAACTAGCGTCGGTTACGACAAGCATGTATTTCGTTCGACGTATCACGTTGTTTGCGTCGTGCACACATTGGATGTCGCAGTGTACAAAGTGTCAGGATATGCTTCCTCAGATGTCCATCCACTCCACTCATGCTTACTTTTGAATATTATAAATGGAGTCGCTTTTCCTCCAGCTGCATTGCTGGCAACCTAGATGGTTGTGTTTCCTTCAACAGCTAATGACGTTGTTCTATTTGAAGGATATCCCTTTAAACCGACCACTTTTGTTTTTTGATGGTCGTTACAGTAGCTTGTTTCGTCAATATTATATACTCTCTCTGGCTTATTTTCAAGCCCTAGCTCATTAATAACTTTTTCGATAATGCCGTAAAATTCTAGAACGATGCGAGGGTCAGCCGCTTTTTTACGGGCTATCCCAACTGCTTCAGGTTTTTTTATTGACAACCTATGTCGAGTCATAAAATTAGAAACCAATCGTTTGCAGGGATGTTATTGGTAAATGGTGTATTTTTTTTAACCTACTTCTCAACCAGTTCTAATACCTCTTTCAGACTTAACCCGAAGCCATGCTTTTCCATAATATGTAGACAGTGATGTGTAACTATTTCAATTTCAGCTGACAAGGCTGGTGGTCTACCTTGTGTGGATGAATTTTTCCCATTCGACTCGTCACGTGATCCATGATTGTTTTACGAGGTATACCATAACTTTTCGCTACTTCATATCCAGATAGGCCTGATCGGACAGCGTCAACTGCCTGACATAAAGTTTCTCTAGACCAAGAAGGCTTATCGGTTTATCTTTGATAAGTACGAACCATCTGTAAAAAGACAATAATTTTAGAACCAGTTGTAGTGAGTATCCAACTGCTTCTTCTTGAGAGATCTGTGGGCAACCTAGTGTGAGAGTTGTTCAGAAAACCCAAAGGCCTCTGAGATAACTTAAAGACTGATGTTGAATGATAACAGCCGGATCGATAAAAAATAAGTCTATCTCAAATAATTCGTGCCTTATTCTTTGGCTTATCAGTACACTAGTGGTGGGTAAAACACATGTCATTTATCATATTATCATACTATTTTTGCTGGATATTGTAATTTCCAAAATTAGCATGCTCTGCAACTGTTCACATTTGCCAGCAATAAGCACTCTTTACTCATAAGCATGCTCGAAGAAAACAGATTAGACAGACTTGCTATTTAGCACTAGGCTCTCGGCCAAAATGGATGTACAAAGATATAGTGACAGTACTATCCGTACAGAACTCAATAAAATAATCACATTGCTGGCAACGGAATTGTGTAAATACATTTTGGTGAAAAAGGAAAAAACAAAAAAAAACAAAA